GAATGCATTTTCATGATTGTTTTTGTCGAGTTGTGATGCTTCAATTCTTCTTGATGGACCTAGCACTGAGAAAACTGCTGTTCCTAATCTTCTTTTAAGAGGTTTTAATGTTATTGAAGATGCTAAAGCAAAGCTTGAGATGTTATGTCCTGGAGTTGTTTCGTGCGCTGATATTCTTACTCTTGCTGCTCGTGATTCTGTGGTTCTGGTAATTATTAATCAAACATATTCTTTCCTTTTTATTTACCTTACTACATTTATATAATTATAATATTTAAGTTGATGCATTTTGATATTTAATATATGTATATGAATGCAGACTAGTGGCGTAAGTTGGAGAGTACCGATGGGACGTAGAGATGGGATCATTTCATTGGCATCCGAAACTACCAACTTGCCAGGATTTATTGACTCAGTTGATGTGCAAAAACAAAAATTTGCTGACAAGGGACTCAATATCCAAGATCTCGTCACTCTTGTCGGTGAGTGTTGTTTCGAAATTTTTATTATACCACTTTATTAATTATGTATGATTTGTTCTACTTATTTACTAAGTATTTTTTTTTTTTTTATAATTAGGTGGACATACAATTGGTACTGCAGGATGTGCTGTAATTACGGGTAGATTATTTAATTTTAATGGAACAGCTGGAGCATCTGATCCTGCCATAAGCCCTTCATTCCTTCCTACATTAAAAGCTCTTTGCCCTCAAAACGGTGATGCAAGAAAACGTGTAGCACTTGACACAGAGAGTGAAAATGAATTTGATACATCTTTCTTTAAAAACTTAAGAGATGGTAAAGGAGTTATTCAATCTGATCAAGCACTATGGACTGATACCTCTACTAAAACCTTCGTTCAACGCTTTTTGGGTATTAGAGGCCTTCTTGGATTAACTTTCAATATCGAATTTGGAAAATCAATGGTGAAAATGAGTAATATTGAAGTGAAAACAGGTACTGAAGGTGAAATCAGAAAAGTTTGCAGATCTATCAATCATTGATAGACGAATAATGTTTTATTGTTGTAGTTACATGGTTGAAAAAGATCCATACTATATATGGAATATTACTTATTCATATATAATGTAAGCTATAGTAAATAAAACAAGGGTAGTTTAATAAGCATGAGGTTGTTGAGATGAAGGAAGCATAAAAATAGGCATGTGTTGGATAGGTTTGTTCGTTTTTCTTTCTATCTTTCTCATCTTTATCTTTTGTTCCTTTTTGTTTCCGCCACGAATTGTAAAAATATCAGGCTTGTTTGTATTTTGAAGCAATGTTGCCATGATTTAATTTTATGAATAAAAAGAAACTTTTATATCTATAAATGTGAAATATATTATTGAATATGGTGAATTATAACATATTTTCGGGACAAGATATTATACTTTTTGATATTTTGATAATAATTACAAAAATCTTAGTTTTATTAATGCAATAATTATAAGAAACAAACTATAAAGTTCCCAAAGAATTTTTTTCTTTAATCACAAGCAATTCTCGTCATGATGTCTTTAAATATCTAGAAGAATGAATTTTGTACCGGGAAGCCTAATCTCGCGTTAAGAATAAACAATTAGATAATTACCATGAGTTATTATATATATATATATATATATTTTTTTTCTTTGCTACAATAAACTAAGGTTCCAAATAGAATAATACTATATATACATACATATATGTGGGTTGACATCCATCAACCCTGTTGGATGTAACACGTTTTTGCATGCAATGAATGCTTTTCGTATAATATATATATACTTAACAAAGATCAAGAATAATATTCAGAGGTTTGTGGATCTCGAGACATGGATGATAATAATTCTTTTTTCTCCTAATTAATATTCAACCTTCGGCACTACCGGAATGAAGCGCTTAATTAATTAGTTCTGATAATTAATTAATTATTATCAAATCTTAGAAACTAATTGGTGATCTCAACTATTATTATTCTTTTCCCATCATATATTTTAAACATATAAAAGTAATTAAGTACAACCTAATTATTAATATTTTTAAAAAATACAACTAAAGAAAATATATTTTGTTACATAAAACACAGAATCTTGATTAAATATAAAATTATACTAAAACAATGTACGAAATATATATAAATCACTAAAATTAATTCTTAATAGAACTGATTCAAATAAAAAAAATGAAATATTAGGCATCTCTCTGATATTGTTTTATAATAATTAATTGAATCCATAAATTATTATTATTATTATTATTATAGGATAGTATCAGAACCAAAAATTTTGGAATAGTAATCAAATTTAAATTTAAATTTTAGCTTGATATGTAATTAAATAATAAATTAAATTAATAATTTAAAAAATAAGAAATGATAATAATTTTTACATTAATTAATAAAACCTACACTTCATCAATATGAATATAAATGGAATCATTTACAGCCGATCAATTACAACTTTATAAAATCTAATATTATTTTTAATTGCTAATGGAATGGTAACGCGTTGTAATTACGAATAGTGGCAGCCTGTACCAAAGAACTAAATTAAACTATATTTATATATAAGAATGAGACCATTTGATTTGAATGTCATTTGAGTATTTTCGTCCATAAGCTTATGTTTTTCCCTTCTGTTATTAACTAGTCTATACATAATAAAATAAC